GCTCGTAGTCACGGTGAGCGGCTATGTGTAGCAGCACCCGAAGAGTGGTCATCTTCGGGGTGGGAGAGAAGGTCTGAAAGTAGTCAACTCCCTGCCGCTGACTGAAGCCTCGAGCCACGTAACGCGCCTTGAAGACAGGCGGAGAACCCGACGGCCGCTTCACCCTGAAAATCCACATGCCACTGACGATGTTCGCCCCAGGTGGGGGAACCTCGTCAACGTAGGTGCCCGTGGAAGCCATCTCTGCGTCCATGGCTGCCTGCCACTGAGAGGAGTAGGGACCCTCTATCGCCTCCGCGTAAGAGCGTGGAGTCGGGATGTCTAATGCATCCGGGTCTCCCTCAGGGGCAAGCAGCGAGGACACAAGATGAGGTAAAGCAGCAGCAAGACACTGGAACTCCTCCTGCCTGTCCTCAAGGACGTCCATGCTAAGAGCACACTCACCCCCGACGGACGGAGGACAGACAGACTCAGACTCAGCAACAAGACTAGCGGTGTAGTCTAGACGACAGGCAGCAGCAAAGTCAACAAGCTCAGCAACCAAGGCAGACGCAGCAGTGGACTCCAACTACGGGTCAGTGTCGACAGTAGCTAACAGACGCGTGACAGTAGGGTGCTCAGCACGAAACTGGTCAGACGCAGGGTCCGGAACGGCAGGCAGAGAGGACGCAGGGGGGGAAGGCAGAGGAGCAGACTGCGGAGCAGAGGAAGGACGACGGACTACAAGGTGTGCGCTGGGGACAGCCGGCTGACGCGCACGAGCGACACGACGACCGGTACGACCAGAACGAACAGGCGAGACAGGACGCGACGTAGGCTCACGACGCTCAACAGGGAGCGGTGAGCCAGGCGGTAACGGAAGACCAGTGGACGACGGGAGAGTAAGAACCTGACGAAGAACAGAGTCAGACGGTGGCAGCGACGACGGAGACGGCGGAGCGAAGAACAGTCGTGTCGGCGCAGCTGCACCAGCTCCGGCAGCTCCAGCAGCTCCAGCAGCTCCAGAAGCTCCAGCCTCAGAACCGGGACCGCCAGCGCCAGCAGCTCCAGAGCCAGCTCCACCAGCAGTAGCACCCCCAGAACCGGCACCTCCAGTCCCAGGGTCTCCAACCGCAGAGTCTCCCGCAGCAGCACTTCCAGAACCAGCACCGCCGGTCCCAGGGTCTCCAACCGCAGTGTCTCCCGCAGCAGCACCCCCAGAACCAGCACCTCCAGTCCCAGGGTCTCCAACCGCAGCGTCTCCCGCAGCAGCACCCCCAGAACCAGCACCTCCAGTCCCAGGGTCGCCAGCCTCAGTGTCTCCAGCAACGGCACCTCCAGGCGCAGCACCCCCAGCCCCAGTAGCTCCAGTACCTCCAGCAGCAGAGCCCCGGGCTCCAGCAGCGCGACGCTGACGGCGACCGTACCAGTCGTGCAGCTGCTGAGTGGTGAGAGGCACACGCGGACGAAGGCGGCCACTCCAAGTAGGCCGCGCACCAGCAGTCCCAGTACCCTCAAGCGTCTCACCTCCAGACTCAGCACCCCCAGACTCCGCACACACAGGCTCAGTACCCCCAGACACAGCACCCCCAGGCGCAGGACCTCCAGTCTCCTCACGCGCAGGCTCAGCACCCCCAGACTCCGCACCCCCAGACGCAGCACCTCCAGGAGCACCACCCCCAACAGCACCAGAGTCAACAGTAACCGGCTGCAGAGGCGGCGAAGAAGGTCGCGGAGGGAACCCCGGAGGGGTCTCCAAGCGTGGTGCGCGGCGGTAGGCCGCCGGGGCGTCAGCAGCAGCGTCACCCCCCTCAGGTGAGCCAGAGGTGTCGGAAGTGACCTCCAAAGGCTCAGCCAAGGGGGGGGGGTCTACCTGAGACACACCTGAAGGAGCAGGACCCTGAGGGGGGAGGGGGTCTACCCGGGGGGAACCGGGCGTAAGGAAGAGCGGCCGGGGGGGGAGGGGGGCAGCGCGGTAGGGGAAGAGACGGTAGTACAGAACCAGCTCGTCAAACGTGACGCCCTGGGAGGACAGAACACGGCACGAGGTGGGGTGATAAAACTGCCAACCAGGCGCGTCAGAAGGGAAGCCAAGGAAGACGCAGGGAACAGCACGAGAGGACAGCTTGTCCGTAGACAAGTCTCGGACAAAAGCCCGAGATCCCCAGACACGAAACGCAATGGCATCGCCAACCTGCCCCGTCCACCTCAGAGTGGGGGAGGTGTCCGGCATGGAGACCCGGGGCTGAAGGTTGATCTGATGCGCCGCGTACTGAACCGCAAACGACCACAGAAAATGGGGAGCAGCCGCATGGATCATGGACGTGCGAGCAACAACCATGACCATGCCAATGCGGCGCTCAGCAATCCCATTTTGCTGTGGAGAGGCCGGAAGCGTGAACAACTGGAGGATGCCCCTCGCACGACAGAAGGTTCGCAAAGGGCCGGAGGAAAACTCTCCACCTCTGTCAGAGTGCAGACGCAGAACAGGAAAGTCCGAGCCGAAACTCTTCCTGAGCTGGAGACGAGCAGCGCGGATCCAGTCGATCAACACCTCAGTAACCTCATCCTTGCGGCGCAAGGGGAAGACTGTGGTGTAACGCGAGTAGTCGTCAACCACCAGCAGGAAGTAGCGCTCGTGACCCTGTCCACGGACGCGGGCTAGGCCCCACACGTCCATGTGAAGAGTCTGCAGCGGAGCCTCTGTCGGCGGAAACTCGGAGGAGTGAGGAGCGGCGCGCAGCCGCCCCTCGACGCAGGGAACGCAGGTAGGGGCAGGCCCCGGAGGGAGGGGAGGGAGAGACCGGGGGAGACCAGAGACCAGGACACGAGAGGCCATGCCTCGGAAGCGAGGCAGTGAGGGGTGACCAAGACGGTGGTGCCAGAGAAGAGTCTCGTGGGACAGGAGGCGACACGAGCAGGGGGCAGACTCAGGACCAGACCGAGACGCTGCAGCAAACACCTGACCCGACGCAGCTACCTGACCAGGCACAGCAACCGGAGGAGACTCGGTAGTCAGGGTGTACAGGCTCGACCCCGGCCGACGGGTAAACGTGGCCAAGTGTCGGCCCGTGTCCGCACACGTGCAGTGGGTCACCCGCTGACGCGCAGGGGTGAACTGGTCAACCCCCCCATCCTGTAGGTCAGCACCCGCCACCAAGTTCGTAGAGAACGAGGGGAGGTAAAGACCCGACAGGGAGCCAGACGGGACCGCTGGACACGGTAGGACAGTGGAGTAGTGGGCAAGAACAGGACCCCCAGAGGGGTCTGCCAGGGAGACCGCAACCGGCCGACTGAGCGGCGTGAGAGTGGTGCGGTCTCGAAAGAAGGAGCGGGAAGCACCCGAGTCAAGGGTGAAAGTGTGCGACGCCTGAGCCGACGTGGTACCTGAGAGAGCAGACTCACCAGCACCTGGGGCAGCAGACTCACTAGCACCTGGAGCAGCAGACTCACTGGCACCTAGAGCAGCAGCTGCACCGCCCGGGTCGGGCGGAACACTCAGGGAACAGTCACCATCATCACTAGTAGACATGGCATACATGGCAGCAAGGATAGCATCATAGTCAAGATCAAAGATAGCAACTCCCGACCTAAGCAGATCATGCCAGCGAGGGAGCTCAGTGGCGTCAGGGAACCGGAGACGCCAGGCATCTGTCAGGCGGCCGAAGCAGCGCTGAGTGGTGTGCGCGCCTCCACACTGCTCTCCAGTGCGGTCACCAATACGTAAGAAGTACGTACAGGGACCAGCACCCCCAGGCCGCTGACGCCCAGCGTACCACTGGTGAAGCTGCTGGGGTGGCGGGGCCTCACGAGAGCGCTGCTGCTGCGGACGCTGTCCACCACCGGAGCCTCCTCGCTACGCGGAGCCACCCCGACCAGCACCACCGCCACCGCCGCCACTGCCGCCGCTGCCACCACCGCCACCGCCGCCACCGCCACCTCCTCCACTCCCACCGCCGCCGCCGCCGCTGCCTCCGCCTCCACCGCTGCCACCAGAGCCCCCACCTCCGCCACCACTCCCACCTCCACCCCCACACCCTCCGCCACCTCCACCGCCACCACCACCACCACCACCGCCAGCTCCTCCAGCTCCCTTGCCCCCCTTACCCTTGCTGTTGCGGCGCCTCCCATTAGGGGCAGACGCAACACCGACCGACTCAGTGCCAAGGAGGTCGACAGCAGCAGCAGAGGCAACAGAGGGCAAAAGGGGAACGGGGGAGCACCCCTCAAAGATAGGGGTACGAGGGTCACCTCGAGAGGAACCTACAGCGACAATGCTCTGCTCAGCTGCAAGGAGCTCCTTCGCGAGGAGGTCAATGGTGAGAGTGGTAGGGCAGACAGCAAGGAAGTGGTCCCTGACCGAGCGAAGGGAGTTAGGGAGTCGGGTGACTAGGTAGTAGAGGGTGATGTACATGGGGGGGGGGGGGAGGGTTCTGGGCGCAGAACTGAGCATGAAGCATAGCGCGGTAGCGGACGTCACTAAGGCGAAGGTGCGTAATGAGGTCAGCGACTGTAGCAAAGGCGGCGAGGTCAGGGAAAAGGTACGGCAGCATGAGGCGGCTAAGCGCAGCAGTGGCAGGGGAGGAGTAGCGTGCAACGACAGCATCGTACAGGGTCTTAGCAGTCTTATACTGAGTAAAGTGCGCACGCTCAGCAGACGGCAGGTGACTACGCACAGCAAGTCGGTCAGCAGCATCGCGTGTGGTCCAGCGCGAGCGAACAGTGCTGTCAGCATCGGCAGCAGGTGCAGGAGAGGCACCAGAAGTGAGGTCGAACATCGAGACATCATCTTTGCTATCACACTGCAGGAAGAGGAGCATATCCGCAAGCCAGACCTCAAAGTCTATGGCACGACCCTCAACATCGAATGTAAGAACAGCAAGGGTAGCCATGGCAGCAGTAGGAGCAGGCTAGCAGTAGCAGCAGCAGTAGGGTGGGGGCGCGGCTCGGCGGTGTGCTTACCAGGGGCTGGTGAGTAGGAGCCCATAAGGGGTGGGGCAGGGCCGAGGCACGCCAGTAGGATGGGGGGCCGCGCCAAGGCGGCAGGGCAGGGCCGCGGCTCGGCTGCAGGGCAGGACCGGGACGGCGGCGGCGGCTGCTACGAGCGGTGGCTGCTACGAGCAGCGGCGGCGGCGGCTGTCACGGCAGGAGCGGCGTCGGCTGTCACGGCAGCAGCGGCGGCGGCGAACGGCGAACGGAGCCTGGGGCCAGGGGCGGCTGCTGCAGGGGCGGCTGCTGCAGGGGCGGCTGCTGCAGGGGCGGCTGCTCCAGGAGTGGCTGCTGCAGGGGCGGCTGCCGTAGGAGCAGCTGCTCCAGGGGCGGCTGCTCCAGGGGCGGCTGCTGCAGGGGCGGCTGCTCCAGGGGCGGCTGCTGCAGGGGCCGCGAAGGGGGGCCGCGAAAGGGGCCGTGAAGGGCTGTGAAAGGGCAGCGAGGGGCCGCGCGAGGGCCGCGAAGGGCCGCGACGGGGGGCCGCGACGGGCCGCGAAGGGGGGGAGGGGGGGCCGCGACGGGCTGTGAAGGGGCCGCGACGGGCCGCGAAGGGGCCGCGACGGGCCGCGAAGGGGCCGCGACGGGCCGCGAAGGGGGGCCGCGATGGCCGCGAAGGGGCCGCGACGAGGTCGCGACGGGGGGCCGCGAAGGGGCCGTGAGAGGGAGGGCCGCGAGGGGGCGGCTTAGGGGCCGTAAATATTTCGGGCAGGGCGCAAAGGCGCTTCGGGCAGCTAAAAAAAAAGTTATGAAGGTGGGCCCTTGGAAGAGATGGTCCCACGAAGGAACCTGCTCTATACCATGTGAAGGAAGAGAGGAATGAATGAACTAGAAAAGTGTGTGATACAAATATGAAACCCTAGAATTGTGTACCCCTTAGTATCTACCCCGCTACAGCCTACATAGGCTAGATCATATATGTTTGACAGGGAGGGGAAATGGCGAGCGCGACGGGGAGGGGAGGGGAACTAGCGAGTGCGACGGGAAGGGGAGGGGAAATAACAAGAGCGCGATGGGAAGGGATGGGGAGATATCGAGCGCGATAGGAAGGGGAGGGGAGATAGTGAGTGCGATAGGAAGGGCAGGGAGATGGCGAGCAAGACAGGAAGGGGAGGGATTTAGCGAGGGCGATGGGAAGGGGAGGGGGGATATTGAGCATGACGGAAAGACGAAGGGATATAGCGAGGGCGATGGGAAGTGGAGGGGAGATATCGTGGTCAACTGGAAGGGGACGGAAGATATTGAGCGCGGACCGAAAGGGGAGGGGAGATAGCAACAGATTCGGGAACGGGAACGGATATAGCGTGGTCGCAGGAAAGGAATGGGAGATAATGACAGAAACGGGGAGGGGAAGGGAGATAACGAAGGCGACGGGGAGGGGATGGGATAATGCAAAGTCAACGGGAAGGGGACGGGATATACGGTAGCGGCGAAAATGGGCGGGGGAGGGGAGATAGCGAGGGCGTCAGGATGGATGAATACGAGAGCGACGGCGACGGGGAGGGAGGAAGGAGAACGTGACTAGAAGTTAGGCGCAACCGGTTATCGTAACGAGAACATAACTAGAACGTAACAATCGAGTGGAGTCAAGGCTCGGGAGTCTTGTTTATTGAGCGTTGCACTGGTACTTATTTGAGAATGGTGCGGGAGTGGCCGTGAAGTAACTCCGGAAGCTATTACTAGTTGTGCTAGCTATTACTCTGCAGGTCAGCCTTGTGAACCTAAGCCCAACTTGAAAGTTGAGTTGGGCCCAACTGGATATGGGAGCCATCGAGCCATCGCCAACAAGTTGGTGTCGCATGATCAACCGCTTTTGGTTTCAAATTATCAAAACTTAAGCGCGTTGCTTTTTCGCTTTGCAACCAGCAATCTGGCAGGAGCAAATCTTATTGGACAGAAATTTTCGGTCATTGCCCCATCGTTTTTGCAACAGTGCTTTGAACCCGCTCCCTTTCAAACTGGGTCGGCCTTCACTATTTGGCCTGCTCGCTTTAAGAGGTGGGGGTAGTGTAAGGAATTTTCCTGATTCCTTATTGAGGCACACTGTGCGTGTACAATTCCAACTTTCGGAATTCAGGCTCGGTCCGACGACCTCGCCTTCCGAACGTCCCTCGTGTCGCCTTCGTTTTTCCAAACGAAACCTGCACCCAACCTTGCGCGGTCACGGGATCTCGGCCTAGCTAGCCATCCCTATATTTTCCCTAGGCCTCGTTATTCATTCACCAGTTGTAATCTCTTCCGCGATATTGCATTCTGCGCACTCTTTTTCGGTAAACTCATAACAGGGTAGGTCAACGATAATGTTTTCTTTCGCAGCATGAATACGTGCCTCGTGTATGTTTTCGCAGCAAAAACGAAACGTTGGACCAGACACTGTTCGACGGCTGGCTGTTTGAGCGACGGTTTCAGTCGCAGAAAACGAGTCCCAAACAGCCAGCCAGGCTAGATTCACAAGCTGCTAACTTCGCCTTCTCTCTGCGACCGAAGTAGCATTTCAGTCACACATAATGCACCGAGCTGCTCTTGTGAGATTTAATCCTAGTCGCACATCCCCGCCGCTGAAGCTTGAAAGCCACGGAAGGAAGCGATGAACGGGAAAGGCCACCAGGTTGTGCCGCTGATTCGTGATTCGCGCACGACAGCGCATCGCGTCCTCCTCTCCAATCATTTCCTCCCTGCGACTCACTCGAGTCAAGCACCACCTGACTCTTGGACGGCCCCGCCAATTATCACTCGTTGCACTCATGGGGCTCTCAATATCCAGGGCGGTTTCGTCTTCGCAATTCCTGAGCCAACCCCAGATTATCGCACACAGAATTGCGAAACCGCAGCTCCTATAATTGTAGTTTATCGTCCCGCACATCGCGGCTCGCTCGAGCCAAGCCCGCACATCGCGGCTCCTATAATGTTATTTATCGCACCCGTGACTCACTGGAGCCCAGCGATGCATTATATGTGCTCAGAACCGCATCATATGTGCTCAGCACCACATTATACGTGCTCAGCACCGCACTGTATGTGGCACATACCGCATTCAAGTGGAAAACTTCCTGGTGGCAGCTTCCCATCCTCCCGTGCTTTACCCTAGGCCGACCTCGTAACTCGCTATATACTAAACTACTGGCGTAGTCCGATCTTCAACTCGCAAGCTTTTTAAGGCGAGTTTTGAGGCGCCTCAAGAAGCAGCGTAGTCCGATCTTCAATTCGGAGTTGCCTCTGTTGCCGAGTCGGGAAGCAAGCCTTCTATTCTTCTCATCTCTGTTGCTCGCACGCGACAGCACAAAGCTCCTCTCTTGCGCCTCTATCTGAGACTCTGTTGCGCCTCTTGCGCCTCTATCTGAGACTCTCTTGCGCCTCTTGCGCCTCTCTTGCACCTCTCTTGCGCCTCTATCCGCGCCTCTGTTGCGCCTCTGTTGCGCCTCTGTTGCGCATCCGTCGCGCCACGGTGCGCCTCTTCTCTCGCCTCTCCCGCCGCCACTTCTGCGCCTCTCCTGCGGAACCCCTGCCAATATCATCATGAGGATGCGCGCGGCCTCTCCTGCGGGACTCCTGCTGCTCGCCCTTGCTCTCATCTGCGGTCAGCCCCCTTCTCTCTCATTCCTGCTTCCATTTTCCAACTCTTCTATATTTTTCAGTCGTCCTGTGTTCCCTTCGCCGTCCACCCTCTCCCGTGTCCTCTGCAGCGGTGCAGTTGATGCAGGCAGCGTATGGCGACGACACGGTGAAAGCCATAACACAGCCGCGCATGGCGCAGCGAAACATGCTGAAAGCCTTAAAAGAAGCCTGTTTTCCTCTCCGCACATCCTTTCCCGTGTCCTCTGCAGCGGTGCAGACGATGCAGGCAGCAGCATATGGCGACGGCACGGTGAAGAGCATGCCTCACAGGAGAACACTGAAATCGGTTTATGGAGACCAAACTGAACCACCACCGACCACAGGTGAGGAACGTATTGAAGAGAACGGCGTGATTCTGAACGGCGCGATTCTGAAGGGCTTGATTCTGAAGGGCGTGATTCTGAAGGGCGTGAACCTGAAGGGCGTGATTCTGAAGGGCGTGTTTCTGAAGGGCGTGATTCTGAAGCGCGTGATCCTGAGGGGCGTGTTTCTGAAGGGCGTGTTTCTGAAGGGCGTGTTTCTGAAGGGCGTGTTTCTGAAGAGCCATAAACTGTGAAGGGCGTGCTTCTAGTCTTGCTGGCGTCATGCTTTTCTGTATCTGCTTCCTTACTTCCTTTATTTTCTTTTATTCTCTTTTCCTTTTAAAAGCGGTGCCTTCTACATCCTTCAAGCACCCCTCTCTCCGCTGTGCTGCAGATCCTGCCTGTGCAGCGTTGAGCTGTGAGCCTGATGGCACCTGTGAGGTGGCACCTGTGAGGTGGCACCTGTGAATGGACATTCCCATATCTTCGTTTCTTGCCCCTTTTTGTTCGCTTCTCTTGCAGATCCTGCCTGTGCGGCGCTGGGCTGTGAGCCTGATGGCACCTGTGAGGTGGATCAAAATGGAGAGCGCTACTGCAAGTGGGGTGAGTGAGCATGGCGTTGCTGGGTGAGCATAGGTGACACGCTTTCCTACAGATTCATGCATCATGGTATATCAAACCCATGACATCCAACCCCATACCTCATGCATTCGTCTATCAGCCTCATGCCATGCAACCTCCCGCCTCATGCATTCGTGCATTTACGAGGCGCCACAATACTCTCAACTCGATACCATTGTTTTGAACCTCATGTTCCCACGGCATCAGAGTGAGTGCACGGGGCTTATGTGTAGTGAGTCGATGCTTGAAGCACCCCAAGTTGCCTATTAATTTGTTCGGAACCACATGTTCCCACTGCATGAGAGTGAGAGTTCATGATGTTTGTCTTTCGCTAGACCTACCCCCTATCTCTCTCACTTGTCTGAAGCTACACTCCTCTACACGCAATCCCGCATCTGTTATTCCACTGCATCGCTGCCCAGTTTTGCTTCTCCCTTGTTCCCCCTCTGCTGCGTTGCCTCTCTGCCTCGCGTCCCCTTCTGCCTCCCTCCCCCCCTCTGCCTCGTTTCCCCCCTCTGCCTCGCGTCCCCTTTCTGCCTCGCTTCCCCTCTCTGCCTCGCTTCGCTTCCGCGCACATACCGCTTTCGCTTCTGCCCACCCCTCAGCCTCACCGTGTGGCGCTTGCCCCTCTGGAACCACCTGCAAGACCATGCCTGCCACATACAACAGTTTGGTGCAGGTGTCTTGCTGCTATTTAAGGCGCCTCAATAGTCATACCGCACTGCACCCATCCCCACCCCTTACAGCCTCACCCTGTGGCGCATGCCCTACTGGAGCCACCTGCAAGACCGTGCCTGCGACAAAAAACAGCTCGCTGCTGGTGCCTTACTGCGCGTGCCCTGAGGGCTTTGGGATGACCGCCAGCGAATGTCTTGAGGGTGAGCTTCTTCCACGCTTGCTCTCTTTTCTCTCTCCGCTCTCTCCTCTCTCCCACCGCCCCACTCTCCTCTCGCCCCACTCTCCCCTCGTGCCCTTCTCCCCACGCGCCCTACTCTCCACTCTTGCCACTCGCCCCACTCTCTCCTCTCCCTCACTCACCCAGCTCTGTGCTTCCACCTTTCTCGCTTCAGCAAATAGGCTGAACGGCTGATACTTGATGGGGATGTAGCAAAGCATGCTTGAACGGAGAGTCTTTGCAGGTGCCAAACATAGCGACAAGCATTTCGAGCCCTTCACTGTGCCACTCTTTCTCAGGTGGAGCTTCCAGAGTGAACCCTCAAGCTGGATCGCAAATCCAACGGCCAAGAATGTGGCTCGTGGAAGTATGGCAATAGATGTTCGAATGGGAAACTTTTCAAGTTAAGTCAAGCATCCTTCCCTGTGTCATTCTTTCCTTCCATGTGCCACTCTTTCTCAGGTGAAGCATCCACTGTCACCTCCTTCAGCTATACATTCATCTCAAATCCAACGGCCAAGGACGTAACTTCTAAGCCCTACACCTTCCGCCTCAACGCGACTGGCTGCACTCCCTTCCCAGAGGCAGTGGTTGGGAAGACCAGGGGAATTTACTTTGTCCGCAACATTGGCGATGCTCTGAGCTGCCTCAACTCGAAAACCTTCTACGAAAATAACTGTCAAGGCTCTTTTATGTTGGGGAGCGATCGAACCTTTCCGGGTTTTTTTGCAGGATATACCAGTCTCCCGTAAGTCATTCCCAATTTCCCACCTGCACATCTGCACTGCTTTTCTGCCTCCCTTTCTGCACTCTTTCAAAGATCTCACCTTTTTTATTAATCATTCTTGTTCTTCTCCCTTGTTACCATTAACCAGGGAGAAGCTGGCATTCGGTCCGCGCTCATTGCAATGCAATGCAGGACAGTAGGATGACATGGATGGCTGCATTGACTATGGTATCATATCCACATGCACATGCTTCCATATGGGTAGCTTCCCCTTCTTCCCTCCACTCAATGGAGACCAGCAGAAGACTGGTTTCTTTTGTTGCCAGCCATTGTAGCTGTCATAGAGATGTCTCTGTTGAGAACGGTTTGTAGAGTTGCATGTGTGAAACTTTTTTTGAAACGAACCATTCTAGACAGTGGTTTAGTGGTGCAGCGCAGCAGCTGTGATCCCCGCCCGCACCTCCCCTCGTCCCATCACCCCCACCATCGGCTCTACCCTGAAGTTGAGTTGAGACCCCCCTGCAGGGCGCTCCCCTCCTCCTCCTGACCATTGTAAGCCCCTGCCTCCCGTCCTTGCAACGGTGAGAATTGGGGTACTTGGATGGAGGTAAGGACACCCCCTCTTACGATTCAAGGCGTGGGCCTGCACTTGCGCCACGTCAGGGGCTTACAAGAGGGCCCGCTTTACAATGGAACCCGCCAGGCCGGCGGCCAAAGGGATTCGCGTGACAAGGCTAAGATGCATATGGTGACATCTACGGTACATGCGTTGGCATGCTAAGATGTAGGGGGAATTAAATTCTCAAGAACTAGATCCAAAATCGGTCAGTAAGTGAAGGTCCTGAATGGCGCGACCTAGAGACGTTTAACATTCGGTAGCACTGTGGCCGTTGGAGGAGTCGTGATGATGCTAAGAAGGCCGTTCAGACATATGCTTGGGGGCGTCGTAGTTGCGATCATGGTTTCCTAGCAGCATGTAATCGGGTCGAGCTGAACCCGACCCAAGATTGAAACTCGGGTCGCGGGTATTGGGCCGGGCTGGTGAGGCTCAGCACCTGACAAGACCTGGGCAAATTCCCGAGACAGGTTGAATCCAAGAAAATGCCTCAGCAGAGGATCGAACTCTGGACCTTTCGCTTACGAAGCGAACGCACTACCACTGTGCTACTGGGGCGATGGTGCATCTTGGCACAATTTTCTCATAATAAGTTTGTCTATCTTAACCAATAGCTTGTTTTGCCGACCTGGGATCATTGATGGCGACATCCACGGCGCGCACGAGGCTGAAAATCCGGAGCGTGCCGAGAGCCAGCTCCGATGGACCGTCGTCGCCTAGCGCCGCTTCAAAGGCGGACGCCATGCGGTAATACATACGTCGTAGTCTCCTCACCATAATACACGCCTTGTAGTCTCACTCTCGTGCTCTCGAGACTCACGGCAATGCGCGTCGCGATGCCTGAAGATGGTCCCCTTAGGACCAGTCAAGTCGGTCGGTGGCATAAATGGGCCAATCAGAAGTTTTAGTCGCCTCAGAACGGTCGAAAAAGGATTTGATTTGTCTCAGAATGGTTCAAATAAACGGGTCGGGTCTGGGCGGTAACGCGAGCGCCCTATCGTCGCCTGTCCGTTGCTCTTCCGTCCCCACACTAGGCCGAAGGGTGCAGCAGGCGGGCTTCGGTAGCCTGGTAACCGGGTTACAGGCCCATTCAAAGTAGCGCGGCTTCTGCGGAGCGCTGAAGCCTCTATCTCTAATTCCAGCAGCTTTGCGAAAATTTGCGACATCCTTTAGCTTCGCCTGCTTTCACCTTTCGGTCTCGAGTTCTTTCTCCAACTTACACCTTCAACCTTCTGTCTTATCTACTCGTCCACGTGTCCCCTTTTCCAAGTGTCCACTTATCCACGTGTCCCTCCCCTTGTCCACGTGTCCCGATGTCCACTCATCCACGTGTGCACGCGTGTCTCATTGTGCGGACCTGCAGGGACATGTACGGCTTTACACTGCAGAGCCAGTACACTGACATATACAAGACGTACGCTCGCATCTACCAGGTATGCTATGCCCTAGACCGTAGGTGTGCCTCTGGCGCCCCCACATGAGATGCGCCTCAAAGTGCTCCCAGCACGCTCCAGAGCCAGCACACGGACATTTACCAGACGTACGCGCGGATCTACCAGGTGCGTTTTCATGGGCTTCAGCTTTCTCACTTGTTAGACAGTGCGTTCAATCCAATCTATTCAAGACGCAGTAAAAACCACCATATATAAAACAAATCATATCATGCATTTTAATCCACCTCACCCTACCCCACCCCACCCCACCCCACCCCTCCCCATCCCACCCCTCCCCACCCCACCTCACCACGCCCCGTCCAGGTGGAAGAGGAAGAGCGGTCAGACCGATGGGACAAGTTCTTGCAGCACTGCGACCTCTCCTTCCACGATCCTTCTTCTTCCACCCGAACAGCTGCAACAGCAGCAGCAGAGGCAGCAGGAGACGCGTCTGGTTCTGCTTCCCAAGTGGGGAGGGGAGAAGGAGAGGGGGTAGAGGGAGACGGAGGAGGAGGAGAGGGAGAAGGAAGGAAAGGAGGAGCCGCAGAAGGAGGGGTAGGAGGAGGAGGAGGAAGAGACGGAATAGAAAGAGAAGGGGGAAATGGAGAAGGAGAAGGGGCAAGGGCAGGAGGAGGGGATTGGCCGTTAGACAGTCCCGCTTCGGCCCCAACTACTCCTGGAAACTTCCAGGAAGTGAGGCTGGCAGGTGTGAAGTTGACTGTAGACCCTGTGCTTAGAAGGGGGTCCGGGGGAGATGCGAGGTTCAGAGAGCAGTTTCGGGAGGAGCTGGTGATTATAGAGAGGGTGCTTAAAGGGAGGAAGCTGTGGAGAAGGAGGGGAGGGGAAGGGGGTGGGAAGGAGGGGAGTGCGGGTGGGGAGGTTGGTGGGGGTTTGAGTAGGGGTGATAAGGGTGGTGCTGGTTCTGGTGCTGGTGCTGGTGCTGATGTTGATGCTGTTGTGGGTAGTCATGGAGAGAAAGCAAGTGCGGCAGGAGATGCGGGGAGTGTGAGCATAAGTGTGAGTGGAAGTGAGGGTGTGAGTGGGAGGGAGAGTGATAGGGAGAGTGAGGGTGGAGGGGCAGGAAATGAGGAACGGGTTGATAAGCAAGCAAAGGAGAGTTCTGGTACGGCCTCTGGTGCGGTGCAGAGCGGTGTAAAGGAGGGAGAGGCGGAGGGAAGTGGTGGTGGTGCCACAGAAGGAAAAGGAGAAACCCACAGTGCTGTGGCTGGTAAGGAGGCTTCTTGTAAGGAGGATGCCGGTAAGGAAAATGCTTCTAAGGAGACAGAGAGCGGGGCCAAAGAGGGGGGTAGTAAGGCTGTTCCCGTTACAGTCACAGCGGATGGGAAGGCTGGAGGTGGAGAGAAAGAGGGCCCGAAGGCGGCTGAAGAGAAAAAGTTGCAAGATGGTGAGGAGGGTGGGGGAAAGAAGGCATCTGTGGAAGGAGGTGGTGAGGGTGGCGCGAAGGTGGCAAGTGGAGTGGAGGGAGAAACGAAGGTTGAGGTTAAGGGTAAGGGTGCAAAATCGAAAGCGGAGGAAGAAGAGGAGGAAGAGGAGGAGGAAGAGGAGGAGGAGGAAGAGGAAGAGGAGGAAGAGGAGGAAGAGGAAGAGGAGGAAGAGGAGGAAGAGGAAGAGGAGGAGGAGGAGGAGGAAGAGGAGGAGGAGGAAGAGGAGGAAGAGGAGGAGGAGGAAGAGGAAGAATACGAGGAGGTGGAGACAGATGAGGAGGTGGAGGAGGAGGAAGAAGAGGAGGAGGAGGAAGAGGAAGAGGAGGAGGAAGAAGAGGAGGAAGAGGAAGATGAAGAGGAGGAGGAGGAGGAGGAAGAGGAGGAGGAAGAAGAGGAGGAAGAGCAGAAAAAACAAAGGAAGCAGGAAAAACAGGGGATGGGAAGAAGGAGAGAGAGGAAAACAACAAAACCACAGCTTCAGCTGCAAAAGATAGCCCCTCTGTGGATAAAACAGGAGACAAGTCAGGAAGCAAGTCAGAAGACAAGCCAGGAGACAAGTCAGGAGACAAGTTAGAAGATGCGAAGGGGGAGAAAGAGGCGAAGGAACCTACTGCAACGCAACCAAAGGCAGACGGAGCAGCAGCAGAAGCAGCAGGGCAACAGAAAGAGCCAAGCAGCCCTTCCAAACCTGCCAGGCTCTCAAAAATAGCGAGCATTTTGTCTCCTGCTGCCACGGCCGCTGCTGTGGAGGCGCAGAGAGAAGCAGCAGAAGCGGCTGCTGCTCTTGAAGCCGTGGCGAATAAGACACTCAAAGCTGCGAGGGAGGCACAGGGAGAGGCGGGAGGGGTGAAGGGAGCGGGGGCGGAGGCACAGAGAGAAGCAGCAGAGGCAGCTGCTGCTCTTGAAGCCGTGGCGAATCAGACACTCCTAGCTGCGAGGGAGGCTCAGGGGGGCGGGGGAGGGATGGAGGGAGCGGAGGTGGACGCACAGAGGGAGGCAGGAGGTGGAGGAGAGGAAGGGGGAGTAACACAAGGCGAGAGCAACGAGGGGAGGCAGCAAAAGGATGCAGAGGGGGATGGGAGAGAGGCGGATAGGGGTGGGAGCGAGGCAAAAGGGGGTGGGAGAGAGGCAGAGGTAGGTGGGAGAGAGATGGAGGGGGGTGTGGGAGATGCAAAGGGTGGCGAGGGGGAAGCGGAGGGAAGGGGGAATGCGATGCGGCAGGCGTTCAACACAGCAGGGTTCCCAATGCTGGGGAGAGTGCCGTGGGGGCGAGAGCTGCACTCTCTGGTGATGGGCGGCGTTCCCATGAACCTGCGAGGCGAGGTGAGAGGATGGGCAAGACGGAATGGGCTGGGTGTGTGTGGGGGTATGGGAGGGAATGGGAAAGCATGGGAGAGAGAGGACGAGACATGTGGAATAAGGCAGCTGCACTCGCTGGTGATGGGTGGCGTGTGCATGAACCTCAGAGGCGAGGTGAGAGGGTGGATGGGAGAGAAGCGTGAGAGTGGGCGTGGGCATTGAGGGGCGAGGTGGGGCAATGGACGAGGCGTGAGGTGGTTGTACCTTTAGCGAGGCATGTAGGCATGATTAAGACAACTGCACTCGCTGGTTTTGGGAGGCGTACCCATGAACCTGCGAGGCGAGGTGAGTGGGTGTGCACGAGAGAATGGGCAGTGAGGGTATGGAGAGAATGGCGGGGCATGTTATAACAAAGAAACATTCGAGAAAGAGGCATGCTGAAGAGGGGAGCTGCACTCGCTGGTGATGGGCGGCGGCGGGCCATGCCCATGAGCCTGAGAGGCGAGGTGAGGGGGTGGGCTTTAGGGAGAGGTGGGTATCTGGACGGGAGAGACGAGTGGGTGGGAATGGGCTAGAAGGGCGAGATGGGTGCAGGCATGATCTCTGTCATCCCCTGTGAACCCCTGTGATTACCTGCGAACTGGTGAATGCGTCTTTGGGTGCAGGTGTGGCAGATATTCGTGGGCACCAAGGCGAGAAGGCGAGCAGGACTATATGACGCGCTGCTGGAGGAGGCACACCGGGAGGACGACCTCTGCCCCAACAGCACCCTCGCTGACATCTACGCTCGCATCCGGGCTAAAGATGTACACAACTCGTGGGCCGTGCAGATCGAAAAGGTGGGTGAAGGGAGAGGGAAGAACGGCTGGTATGCCTGAGGGGGTGGTAGGGGGTCAACACGTGCCAAGGCAAGGACATGCACAACTGGTGGGCGGTGCAGATTGAAAAGGTGGGCATTCTTCCCCTGTGCATCCCGTTGAAAGACTCAATCCCCAAGGCTCGCTGCCGGCTCTAAGAGATGAAATCACCCTTCTCTTTCACTTAAAAGAGCACCCAGTTTTCCCTCCCATCATCTCTCCCTCCATCCTCGCCCTCTACCACCAGGACCTGCCTCGCACCTTCCCTGGGCACCCAGCTCTGGACTCCATCGGGAGAGACTCGCTGCGCCGGCTGCTGACGGCGTATGCGCGCAAGAACAAGGACGTGGGGTACTGCCAGGTGGGCATGTGGGTGGGGTTGCGGGTGGGTGTATGGATGGGGTGTATGAGAGGGTGTGTTGTTGTCTCATCTGACGGCGTATGCGCGCAAGAACAAGGACGTGGGGTACTGCCAGGTGGGTGTGTGGGTGTTGGGTGGGTGGACCATGGATTTATGGATGGATTTTATGTGAGGTGTGTTTGCCTGCTGACAGCGTATGCGCGCAAGAACAAGGACGCATGAGTGGGTGCATGTGGGTGTGGGTGCATGTGGGTGTGGGTGCATGGGGTACTTCCAGGTGGGTGTGGGTGTGAATGGGTGGGTGGGGTTGCGGGTGGGTAGATGTATGGGGTGCGTGTGGGTGCATTGTTGCCTGTTAACGGCATATGCTCGGAAGAACAAGGAGGACGTGGGGTACTCCTGCCAGGTAGGCTGTACTGCTGGTGTGCGTGTCTGTTGACTGTTCGCTCCTCTGTATGCTCCTTTATGTACTCCTCTGTATGTCACTTCGTAACCCTTTTAGCCTAGGAATCTCTTATCTTGAAGACTTGGTAGCTCAACAACTAGTTACCTGGTACGTACACTAGTACTTTGGAAGATCAGTAGCCCGTTGTTTTGGTGAAATGTAACGCCGTTACCAAAACAACGTTACGTCTAGATCCTTTTTCCTCCCTCCCACGAACCCATCACAGGGCATGAACTTTCTCGGTGGGCTGCTGCTGCTTCTCATGCCAGAGGAAAACGCCTTCTGGTGAGAGGGAGTGGAAGGAGTTTATGAGCAGTCCCCTACGTTGCCAATCCAATTTTCTGCCTGTGGGAACATCTGGAACTAGTTCTGATTTAATACCTGTGCCTGTTTGCACTGTTTGAAATCGAGCTTCCAACTGCATTGAATCGGTTTTGATTTGTGGTGAACTGCGCTGAGCCGCCCCAACCACGTATTTTGGAAGAGGGCCACACAGGCCATAACTGGCTCTGCTGCTGCCACCCGTGCATCATGCATCTCCAGGACTCTGACAGGGATCGTGGATGACTACTTGAGGGGTTACTACTCCCACAACATGATCGAAGCTCAGGTGAGACTCAGGTGAGACTCAGGTGAGGCTCAGGTGAGGTTCTAAGTGAGGTTCAACCGATTAGGTGTCGTTTTTGTTAACTCAAAAGGCCCAGAGTTGAGCCCTGACAGCCATTGTGGACGACTAGCTGAGGGGCCACTACAGTCTACTTCCTCAACATGGTCGACCCTCAGCCGGTGCAAGGGTGGAGTTGGATTGGACCATTGTGGCCCCTCCGGTCATTGTGAGACCCAGGCGAGGCTCAGGTGATGCTCGTATAGTTGTTTGTTTTATGCGGAATCAGCAGCTGTTGAGACCTTGATGCGCCTGACTAGGGCTCAATGTGAGCTGAGCTGTTCCATCTCATGCAAGGGGTTGGTGGGCCCCAATGGGATGGCAAGGCAAGACAGATTCATTGCTTGCTAATATCTGTCCTGTTTTTGTGGGTGCTTACGCGCGTGCGCATGCGTGCGTGAGTGAGTGTGCGTTGCGTTTCTTGCTTGGTTCTCTTGTATCTTGTCTCTCCCTCCCCCACGCCCACCAGGTGGACCAGCTCGTGTTTGAAGACCTCGTGAGGCAGAACTTCCCTCGACTCGGTAAGACCGGCTTGGCTTGGCATGCATGTGTGTGTGCGTGCGTGTGTGCGGGTTCCCCATTGCTCTCCCCCGCTCCTCCAACAGGTGGACCAGCTCGTGTTTGAAGACCTCGTCAGACAAAACTGTCCACAACTTGGTGAGAGCATGCTCCTTCTCATGTTCCTTTCTCCATGCATGGCTTGGTCTCATGCATTATGAGAAGAATGGGTGCGAGCAGGAGAGGGGTGGGTGTGAGAAGGAGAGACATGCTTCTTAGCAGTTATAGATAAAGCCAGTCATTTCCGAGGAGTCCACGTGTGCTCAAACCTAATTTCAAACCCATGCTCTCCGCTCTGCTTCTTCCACCGACCCATCTTCAGACAGCAACTGTCATGGACTTCTTGGTCCCTGGTTCCTCACCCTCTCTCTCCCTCCCTCTTCTATCCTCCTTTTTGCTACATCACCCTCCATTTCTTGCTTGTCTATCCTCCCTGTCCTCCATCACTGTCGCCCCCCCTTCCCAACAACGCACTTTGAGAACATGGGAGTACACCTGTCATGGATCACAGGCCCTTGGTTCCTCTCCCACTATTTCCCTCGTACCCTCCATTTTGCTGCATCGCTCTCCTATCCCTCTCCATCCCTCTCCTACCCGTTCTTTTGCTGCATCACTCCAGCAACGCACTTTGAGAGCATGGGCGTGCAGCTGTCGTGGATCACAGGCCCCTGGTTCCTCTCCCACTCCCTCCCTCCTATCCTTTCTTTCCCCGCATCACTCCCCTCTCCGTCCCTCCTATCCCCGCACCTCTCCCCTCTCCTCTCCAGCAACGCACTTTGAGAACATGGGCGTGCAGCTGTCATGGATCACAGGCCCCTGGTTCCTCTCGCTCTTCATCAACGTGTTTCCCTGGGAGAGCGGTGAGCTTGTTTTCAAAATACCTCAAGAGTCGGTCTTTCTTTGCCAAACTTTCTACTTTGGAAATACATACATATCAAATGGTCGACTTTGAAATGCTTCACGCTTAAGAATTCTCATCAAATGTATCACCATTTTCTTTCCTTCTTCAACCCCCCAATCCTGCCTTCCCATACCACTGCCTTTCGCTCTTCCCCCTAACCCCCACCTCTCTCCATCCCCCCACCCGCGCCTTTTTGTTCCTTCCATCCACCTTTCTTCCCCAATCGGTGTATGAACCCTGCTTTCTTCACCCTCTCTCCCCACCTCCCTTTTCGCAGTGCTCCGTGTGTGGGATGTGATGCTGTTTGAGGGCAGTCGCTGCATGCTCTTCCGGGCATGCCTCGCGCTTCTCGAGCAGCACTGTGAGTGACCAATCACGGTTGACCGCTCATTCTTCCCCTCTCTCCTGCAAGTGAGCGATCACGGTTGACCGCTCATTCTTCCCCTCTCTCCTGCAAGTGAGCGATCATGGTTGACCGCTCATTCTTCCCCTCTCTCCTGCAAGTGAGCGATCACGGTTGACCGCTCATTCTTCCCCTCTCTCCTGCAAGTGAGCGATCATGGTTGACCGCTCATTCTTCCCCTCTCTCCTGCAAGTGAGCGATCACGGTTGACCGCTCATTCTTCCCCTCTCTCCTGCAAGTGAGCGATCACGGTTGACCGCTCATTCTTCCCCTCTCTCCTGCAAGTGAGCGATCATGGTTGACCGCTCATTCTTCCCCTCTCTCCTGCAAGTGAGCGATCATGGTTGACCGCTCATTCTTCCCCTCTCTCCTGCAAGTGAGCGATCATGGTTGACCGCTCATTCTTCCCCTCTCTCCTGCAAGTGAGCGATCATGGTTGACCGCTCATTCTTCCCCTCTCTCCTGCAAGTGAGCGATCATGGTTGACCGCTCATTCTTCCCCTCTCTCCTGCAAGTGAGCGATCATGGTTGACCGCTCCTTCTTCCCCTCTCTCCTGCAAGTGAGCGATCATGGTTGACCGCTCATTCTTCCCCTCTCTCCTGCAAGTGAGCGATCATGGTTGACCGCTCATTCTTCCCCTCTCTCCTGCAAGTGAGCGATCATGGTTGACCGCTCCTTCTTCCCCTCTCTCCTGCAAGTGAGCGATCATGGTTGACCGCTCATTCTTCCCCTCTCTCCTGCAAGTGAGCGATCATGGTTGACCGCTCATTCTTCCCCTCTCTCCTGCAAGTGAGCAATCATGGTTGACCGCTCATTCTTCCCCTCTCTCCTGCAAGTGAGCGATCATGGTTGACCGCTCATTCTTCCCCTCTCTCCTGCAAGTGAGCGATCATGGTTGACCGCTCATTCTTCCCCTCTCTCCTGCAAGTGAGCGATCATGGTTGACCGCTCATTCTTCCCCTCTCTCCTGCAAGTGAGCGATCATGGTTGACCGCTCATTCTTCCCCTCTCTCCTGCAAGTGAGCGATCATGGTTGACCGCTCATTCTTCCCCTCTCTCCTGCAAGTGAGCGATCATGGTTGACCGCTCATTCTTCCCCTCTCTCCTGCAAGTGAGCGATCATGGTTGACCGCTCATTCTTCCCCTCTCTCCTGCAAGTGAGCGATCATGGTTGACCGCTCATTCTTCCCCTCTCTCCTGCAAGTGAGCGATCATGGTTGACCGCTCATTCTTCCCCTCTCTCCTGCAAGTGAGCGATCATGGTTGACCGCTCATTCTTCCCCTCTCTCCTGCAAGTGAGCGATCATGGTTGACCGCTCATTCTTCCCCTCTCTCCTGCAAGTGAGCGATCATGGTTGACCGCTCATTCTTCCCCTCTCTCCTGCAAGTGAGCGATCACGGTTGACCGCTCATTCTTCCCCTCTCTCCTGCAAGTGAGCGATCATGGTTGACCGCTCATTCTTCCCCTCTCTCCTGCAAGTGAGCGATCACGGTTGACCGCTCATTCTTCCCCTCTCTCCTGCAAGTGAGCGATCACGGTTGACCGCTCATTCTTCCCCTCTCTCCTGCAAGTGAGCGATCATGGTTGACCGCTCATTCTTCCCCTCTCTCCTGCAAGTGAGCGATCATGGTTGACCGCTCATTCTTCCCCTCTCTCCTGCAAGTGAGCGATCATGGTTGACCGCTCATTCTTCCCCTCTCTCCTGCAAGTGAGCGATCATGGTTGACCGCTCATTCTTCCCCTCTCTCCTGCAAGTGAGCGATCATGGTTGACCGCTCATTCTTCCCCTCTCTCCTGCAAGTGAGCGATCATGGTTGACCGCTCATTCTTCCCCTCTCTCCTGCAAGTGAGCGATCATGGTTGACCGCTCATTCTTCCCCTCTCTCCTGCAAGTGAGCGATCATGGTTGACCGCTCATTCTTCCCCTCTCTCCTGCAAGTGAGCGATCATGGTTGACCGCTCATTCTTCCCCTCTCTCCTGCAAGTGAGCGATCATGGTTGACCGCTCATTCTTCCCCTCTCTCCTGCAAGTGAGCGATCATGGTTGACCGCTCATTCTTCCCCTCTCTCCTGCAAGTGAGCGATCATGGTTGACCGCTCATTCTTCCCCTCTCTCCTGCAAGTGAGCGATCATGGTTGACCGCTCATTCTTCCCCTCTCTCCTGCAAGTGAGCGATCATGGTTGACCGCTCATTCTTCCCCTCTCTCCTGCAAGTGAGCGATCATGGTTGACCGCTCATTCTTCCCCTCTCTCCTGCAAGTGAGCGATCATGGTTGACCGCTCATTCTTCCCCTCTCTCCTGCAAGTGAGCGATCATGGTTGACCGCTCATTCTTCCCCTCTCTCCTGCAAGTGAGCGATCATGGTTGACCGCTCATTCTTCCCCTCTCTCCTGCAAGTGAGCGATCATGGTTGACCGCTCATTCTTCCCCTCTCTCCTGCAAGTGAGCGATCATGGTTGACCGCTCATTCTTCCCCTCTCTCCTGCAAGTGAGCGATCATGGTTGACCGCTCATTCTTCCCCTCTCTCCTGCAAGTGAGCGATCATGGTTGACCGCTCATTCTTCCCCTCTCTCCTGCAAGTGAGCGATCATGGTTGACCGCTCATTCTTCCCCTCTCTCCTGCAAGTGAGCGATCATGGTTGACCGCTCATTCTTCCCCTCTCTCCTGCAAGTGAGCGATCATGGTTGACCGCTCATTCTTCCCCTCTCTCCTGCAAGTGAGCGATCATGGTTGACCGCTCATTCTTCCCCTCTCTCCTGCAAGTGAGCGATCATGGTTGACCGCTCATTCTTCCCCTCTCTCCTGCAAGTGAGCGATCATGGTTGACCGCTCATTCTTCCCCTCTCTCCTGCAAGTGAGCGATCATGGTTGACCGCTCATTCTTCCCCTCTCTCCTGCAAGTGAGCGATCATGGTTGACCGCTCATTCTTCCCCTCTCTCCTGCAAGTGAGCGATCATGGTTGACCGCTCATTCTTCCCCTCTCTCCTGCAAGTGAGCGATCATGGTTGACCGCTCATTCTTCCCCTCTCTCCTGCAAGTGAGCGATCATGGTTGACCGCTCATTCTTCCCCTCTCTCCTGCAAGTGAGCGATCATGGTTGACCGCTCATTCTTCCCCTCTCTCCTGCAAGTGAGCGATCATGGTTGACCGCTCATTCTTCCCCTCTCTCCTGCAAGTGAGCGATCATGGTTGACCGCTCATTCTTCCCCTCTCTCCTGCAAGTGAGCGATCATGGTTGACCGCTCATTCTTCCCCTCTCTCCTGCAAGTGAGCGATCATGGTTGACCGCTCATTCTTCCCCTCTCTCCTGCAAGTGAGCGATCATGGTTGACCGCTCATTCTTCCCCTCTCTCCTGCAAGTGAGCGATCATGGTTGACCGCTCATTCTTCCCCTCTCTCCTGCAAGTGAGCGATCATGGTTGACCGCTCATTCTTCCCCTCTCTCCTGCAAGTGAGCGATCATGGTTGACCGCTCATTCTTCCCCTCTCTCCTGCAAGTGAGCGATCATGGTTGACCGCTCATTCTTCCCCTCTCTCCTGCAAGTGAGCGATCATGGTTGACCGCTCATTCTTCCCCTCTCTCCTGCAAGTGAGCGATCATGGTTGACCGCTCATTCTTCCCCTCTCTCCTGCAAGTGAGCGATCATGGTTGACCGCTCATTCTTCCCCTCTCTCCTGCAAGTGAGCGATCATGGTTGACCGCTCATTCTTCCCCTCTCTCCTGCAAGTGAGCGATCATGGTTGACCGCTCATTCTTCCCCTCTCTCCTGCAAGTGAGCGATCATGGTTGACCGCTCATTCTTCCCCTCTCTCCTGCAAGTGAGCGATCATGGTTGACCGCTCATTCTTCCCCTCTCTCCTGCAAGTGAGCGATCATGGTTGACCGCTCATTCTTCCCCTCTCTCCTGCAAGTGAGCGATCATGGTTGACCGCTCATTCTTCCCCTCTCTCCTGCAAGTGAGCGATCATGGTTGACCGCTCATTCTTCCCCTCTCTCCTGCAAGTGAGCGATCATGGTTGACCGCTCATTCTTCCCCTCTCTCCTGCAAGTGAGCGATCATGGTTGACCGCTCATTCTTCCCCTCTCTCCTGCAAGTGAGCGATCATGGTTGACCGCTCATTCTTCCCCTCTCTCCTGCAAGTGAGCGATCATGGTTGACCGCTCATTCTTCCCCTCTCTCCTGCAAGTGAGCGATCATGGTTGACCGCTCATTCTTCCCCTCTCTCCTGCAAGTGAGCGATCATGGTTGACCGCTCATTCTTCCCCTCTCTCCTGCAAGTGAGCGATCATGGTTGACCGCTCATTCTTCCCCTCTCTCCTGCAAGTGAGCGATCATGGTTGACCGCTCATTCTTCCCCTCTCTCCTGCAAGTGAGCGATCATGGTTGACCGCTCATTCTTCCCCTCTCTCCTGCAAGTGAGCGATCATGGTTGACCGCTCATTCTTCCCCTCTCTCCTGCAAGTGAGCGATCATGGTTGACCGCTCATTCTTCCCCTCTCTCCTGCAAGTGAGCGATCATGGTTGACCGCTCATTCTTCCCCTCTCTCCTGCAAGTGAGCGATCATGGTTGACCGCTCATTCTTCCCCTCTCTCCTGCAAGTGAGCGATCATGGTTGACCGCTCATTCTTCCCCTCTCTCCTGCAAGTGAGCGATCATGGTTGACCGCTCATTCTTCCCCTCTCTCCTGCAAGTGAGCGATCATGGTTGACCGCTCATTCTTCCCCTCTCTCCTGCAAGTGAGCGATCATGGTTGACCGCTCATTCTTCCCCTCTCTCCTGCAAGTGAGCGATCATGGTTGACCGCTCATTCTTCCCCTCTCTCCTGCAAGTGAGCGATCATGGTTGACCGCTCATTCTTCCCCTCTCTCCTGCAAGTGAGCGATCATGGTTGACCGCTCATTCTTCCCCTCTCTCCTGCAAGTGAGCGATCATGGTTGACCGCTCATTC